TCAAAAACTGTCATAAACTGTCAAAAATGTACAAAAAATGTCAAAAACCTGGGGCAAGTTCCTTTTTTGCCATGGGGAACACTTTACTAGACATTAAATCATGCACAGTACTTGCACTAAGTACTACTATAATTATGATTCATATTATGTATGATGGATAAAAAATATAGCCAAAATTATTGAAACTATTAATTGGTTTTTCTAAAAACATGGTACTCTTAGTAATGAATATTTTACGACCCACAATATTTGCTACATTATAACTATTCAGTTTATATTACAGGTAATGACTATGAGATGTCAATTGTTATCAATCTAAGTATCGATTTTAATTCTTTTATGCCACAATTTTGGCAGAATTTTTAAAATTAAGTAAAATTAAAGTGGTTGCCAATAATTGTCTGATCTCTACTTAGAAAAAAAAAATTTCTATTCTCAATATTTATTACATACAGAGTAGCAGAATATGTCTGATCACGTGAACGAGGTTTTGGGGATGAAAACAGGCAGCAATGGAGAAATTTTTTTACTAAAAAAATTCCTACAAAATTTTCCTGTTAAAATATGTGTTGCTTTGTAAACTTTTTCCTTATTAAAAAGCATTATATGTCAATTTGTGTAATTATTACTTTGAATTTCTTAAGTTTATTAGTGGGTCCTTAAATTTAGTAAAATGCTATAAATTATTGCTGTTTCGATGTATTTTGATTTCCATTATTTTATAACATGTATGCTCGATTATTTAAGAATTGTGTAAAATGAAATGATTTTTTTTCTTATAAACTTTATTTTTCAAAAATATTCAGAAAATATTTATTTGAAAATATTTTATACCTAGGAAATATTAGACTCTGAGAATTTTTTGCACTCCTACTTATATATACATAAATATTTCCAATAAATCATGACTACAATGTATTCTCGGATTAGTGAACTAATTATAATTTACAAAAAATATAAATATTTTTTAAAATGAGTTAATAATTTTTCTAGCAATCAATTCAAGAGTTTAATTAAATTACAATCAATATTTAGTACAGTTATTAGAATAAATTTTCTAATTTCTTATTATTTTATTATGCTTTAATAGTTTTAATCCGTCAACATTCTCGTACATGCAGCTCTGCATTAATCGGAAGAACAGCTTCGAATTTCGATCTCATTCACGCAAAACTGAAAAATGAACTTAGTTTTACAATTATTGATTACTGTTTTACATAGATGTATTGAGATGCTTATAGTTATGAAGATAAGACAGAAAACGAATTCTAACTAAATATAAACTAATGATTGATAATAAGCAAATATGAATGTCTTATATACCCTTTTACATGTTAGGATAATTTTTCTTGTAAAATATATCATTCAAGATTTTCAATTTACTGATTACAGTTATTTTTTAGTTATGGAACAAAATAATTTGTCTTAAATAACAGGAATAATTTAAAGCAACCTGGAAATTAAGGTAAAATTACCATACTTGTATGGTAAAGACATTTCTAGTAAATTTACTTTTGTAGTAGTATTTAAACCATTTACTTGGTGATCTTAACATTCATTATGATAACGGTTTGACAGAAATTCTGGTTTTCGAAATTATAGTTTTTATTATCATACATTTCTTAAAAAACACAAAACTGGAAGACAAATTTAAGAAAGTAAATGGGTTTTATGCCTTGCTCTAAAGCTAAAGTATCGCGAAAGTACCTAAATGTTCTTCAGAACTGTCATCCATTTCATTTTTTATTTGTTGATTTTAACCTTTTGAAGTCTATGCCTTTTACCAAATGGAATGGTAATAATCTGTTTACACTTCTATCTATTATTTAAAATGGTGGTTTATTTAAATGGTGTAAAGGATATATATATGGTGTATATATATATATTATTGTATCTTACACCTTTTTATTTGGTTTACAGCTAATTTATAAACAAGCAAAGGTACAATAAAAAGACTGAGTTTTTCTTACATTACTTACAATCTTTGAACAACAATTTCACACACAAAGAAAAGTTCAATAGCGATTAAGTATGAGAAGTACAATGAAAAAGTAGTTAATAGAAAGTGCGAAAATAACTGATAAAAACAATCAAAGTTGTGCTACTTAAAGTAACTAATTATGACCCACCTATTTCATATAACTCTACATCATCAGTCCGATAAAATGGCGACAATAAAATATAAAATATTTGTGTTTTTAATAAAGTACTATAGTATCTAATGATATTAAAAAAGAAGAAAAATATTTAGACTAGACACCGTAATGTGAAGTTATGGAATTTAATTCTGCTAGCAAAATTATTACGTAACAAAAGTTATTTAGTTGAAAATTAGAATTAATTGCTATTTGCATTCTGACATTAAATTGCTGTCTGACATTAAAAAACATTAATTTATGAGGTAACTAACAGTTCACGTATTTTTTGAATGACTTCAATTTAACGGGAAAAAAACCATGCGCGTTATAATTCATAATTAAGAAACATGGATTTTGAAATGGAATAAAATACAAAAATATTTTATATAAAGAACAATAAAAGTGTTGAAAACTCACGTTTAAGTTCAGTATTCGTAAATCTTATTAAATTTTACTGCCTGCAAATTATCGTTATTCGATAAGTTATTAAACAAAACCTTATTTGGAACTAATTACAATTAATCATCACTGTTCATTTAGTTGGAAAGAAATGAGTAGTTACAAATCGTTTGGCTTTATGAAATCATATAGATTTTAAATATTACTTTTGAGCAAACGATTTTTCATGTTCTACTACTGTCAAATAACAATTTTAGTAAGTAGCTGTATATATAGTGGATGATATACATCGGCATTTTTACTACAAAAACTATAATTCAAAATATATTTTATTCAAAATATATTTAATATTGTTATTATTTGAACAAAAAGAAAAACCAACTTTAATTTTAATGAGCAAAATTAAAAAAAAAAATTAATTCCAGATATTTTTTACAAAATTAATAATTTGTTTTGCATAATAAATTATTTTTTTTGAAACTTCAGGAAATTGTAAAAACCATTAAAATAAATGTGCCTTTCTGATACAATTTTCTAATGTGGAAAAAAAGGGCTTTTAAATATGTTTTAAAATAAAAATAAACTTTTTCATATTAGGACTCATTAATAGTGCATCTAAGCTCGAAGCAAATATAGCTACGAGAATTTTTTTTTTATAATGCTAAAACAAATTAAAAAACCAGTTTTTTTCCGGATATATTTCGTCAACCAACACTTTTTGAAACATGTAGCCAAGGAAATTTTTATATTTTGTATAAGCAATTGAAGCGTTTCATACATTTTGTCGATAATTCGAATGCTATAATTTGTAGTCGAGCTATAATAAATAATAAAATCAATATTCACATTAAAGCTTGAGTAATAAGAGAACCTTGCTGCAAAACCAATAATATAAATAAATTTAATAATATAAATAGACCTATAAATAACCAATATAAATAACCAATTATATAAATGAAATTATGAAGTAAAAATTTTTAATAATTATGCACGTCATTGTTATTTCCATAACATAGTTAATAGTGGTTATAGATAAATAAGTTATTGGTAATAGGATTGCCAATGATTAATAATTTATTTTAAAAAAAAATTTGCTACAAAAAATTTATATGGGAGAAAATTTTTAGATCTTTTATGTAGGGAATAGGCTACTGCACTTTGAATGTTTATAACTAATAAAGAAAACAAAATTCAATCACTTCTTTGTTTTATCTGTTTAATCATTGGTTTTTCGACATCATATCCGATTTAGGGCAATATTTAAAACTGTTATAGTTTAATATGTAGAAAATTGAGTGAAATTATAAATAGATTTTTCTAAAGAAGAATTAATATCAGGATCATTTAAAAAAATATGTTTGTATGATTTTGTAAATTACGTATTTTTTTAAAATGTAAAATCATGGTATTAAACTATACATTATTAAAAATTGCGTTTTAAGTAACATTTTCATGAAATCGAAAATGGTTAAGATAATCAATAGAAAATATTCATTTCCTATTGAGTAGCAAATACTAAAGCATGTAAATATTAGTGACGTAAACATAAGGAATAAAATAGGAAGATATGCGGTGTGATGTGTAAGCATTGTTCTTAAATCTTAATACAAGAACTTTAAGAGCCCTCATTAAGAAAAAAATAAATAAATAAAAAATCTAAAAAGTATACACATTAGGAATGACAAATTATTATTTAAAGGAGCAAGAAACAACATTGAAATCTAACAAATCTCGAATCGCTGGTAAGGACATAAGTTATGACAGTTCTTTTTTTTTATTTTTAAATTTAATTATTGAAATAACTTTTTTGTTAGGTCAAAATTATGGTTGTATTGTTTTTATTAAAAAAAAATTATGAATCTCATTAAATTTTTTTAAATATATAACTTGCTTATCAAGAGGAACTGCTTTTTTAAATAAAAATAAAATAAAAACATTTTAAAATTATTCCTCATTTTTCTCAAATTGTAAACATAAAGCTTGGTTATACACGCATAATTTAAAAAAAAAAAAAANAAAAAAAAAAAAAGAGAGAGAAAGAGAAAAAAGAAAAAAAAAAGAAATGCAATATATAAAAGTAGATTTAAAACTTTGAAAGTTTTAATCTGTATTTTAGAGAGTTTCATGTACAAACGTAAGTATCTACGTGGTTAGTATGTGGTTGTAGTAGAAATAAAGGGGAAAAAAAATCTTGAAGTGAGAAAAATTTTAAGCTATGCAACTTGAATGTAAACAAGAATATTAAATTAACAATTTTATAAATTTTCTTAATTTAAAGAGTTGATAGGAATACACAATGGTTATTTTCGCAGGAATTTCTAGGCATAAATTAGTTTTTGGTTACATTTATTTATTTATTTTAAGATTTTTACGCTTTTCGATTAATAATAAACTTTACTTTTGATAGAAAAAAATAGATGACGCTACTAGTTACAATATATATTACACTTTCTTTTCTAGACAATTAATTCTTAAAAAACTTAATAAAAAATCCTACGCCCTCTAAATAAGAGCTTTTAAATTAGAAAAAGCAAATAAACAGCTTATTTTGTTATGGAAGATAAACCCGTTATGACGCAAAACCATTTTATTTGTTTTCGGACTTTATTTTACCGATTTCACAGTAAAGTAAACAAATAAAAATGAACTACTACTGTATCTGTACGTGTCATTTTATGAAAGGAAGAAAGGAAAATGTTATAACAAGGACATGTGCATTATAATGCATTGATTGAGGAATCTGATTAATATTTATTTGTTTCTTTTTTTTGTAATTTTCCCCCTCTTGTAATTTCATAATGAAAGCATTAATTAAATGTTTCACTGTGACTGCAATCATTTGCTTTTCATTGATTTGTTTACTTTTACTTCGATCATTGACGGGACTAGATTTGAATATTATAAAGTTGTTAAGCGACAGTAAATTGTAATTAAAATTATCACATATCAGATTACTATAACTATTTATTACCTATTATATAGCGATTTCTTATTTAGAGTATTAACGTACTTTTTTTCTCTTCTTTCTCTAGACCTTCGCCGAAAATGTCGGAAGAACCTCCTATTGTTGTTTTTGAAACTACGTAAGAATATTATGAATATTTAAAACAAACTATATTTTGGTTTAGATTTGTGATTTCAATATTGAGCCTTGTGAAAAGTGCCACTCTAATTTTTTTTTATAACCTTTAAATATAACTTTCATCTCATATCAATCAGAGATATTTATCTTAAAATAATTGAAAAAACACTTTAAATTATAAAATTTTATGTCAGAAATTAGAGAAAAGAAAACGATTATTAATTATATTATTACAGTATATAAAATTGAAATCAGGTAAGATTTATCATGTTTATTTGACACATGCTTTTATTGCTGAATCAAAATTATTCAATCAACTTCAAAAGTTTGCTTATGCATTTGTTCTCCTCAAATCCATAGTACTGATGCATACAAAAAATAGTTGTATCAATTACACTTGAATGTTTTGATTGCATTTATTCTTTTCCTTGAATGCAGGGGTCTGTTCAGACATTTTGTGAAAGTTCCTGTTTTTGTAAAATTGTCTAAAAACTATTCATAATTTGTGAATATAAAAAAAGGGTTAAGTCACATTTTTTCAACCAGGGCCCTGCTTTTGTAGAAATAGGGACCTGTTATTGCAAAAGTAGCTAAAAATTTCAAGAAGTTTTTAAATAGATACCAGATTCTGCTCAACAATTGCTCCTACTAAATTAGAGATGCAATGTACAAATATTTGGTATTTAGCCTAGACTGCTCAACACAGAATATTCATTTTGGACGAATAATGGAAGCAAAATCACTCACAATTTTAACAATTTCAATTGACATATTTTAAATAACACAACTTAGTAATCTATCACTTTAAATGTGTTATGCATTAAGTAAACTTAAACAATTCTTAAATTTATAATTTTTATTTACATAATATTCTATTAATTAACTTAATGAATAAATATAAATTGATTAATTATTTATTTGAAAAAAATAAATAATGATTTAATATTAATAAGAATGTGCACGAGATGTTTGTAAAAGTAGAAATATTTTACTGCATTTCGAATTTAAACATAGGGAAACTTAGTTTGTCTGGTACCATCTTTCTCCCCCCCCCCCACCAGGAGGGTTTATTTGATTAACAAACCAATAATGATGATAAACAAATTTGTGAAGGTTCCAATTTTATGAAAAGGTATTTTGTGAAGGGTCCCTTACCGGACCCAAATTTCTTCTAAACAGACCCCTGGAATTATAAAACATATCCTTTAATATATTGTCAATTTGAAAAAACAAAGGAAAAAAAAAATTGCAAAACAAATCACAATATTAATAGACATTTTGTTCAATTAGGTAAATCAAAAACAAAAAAGAAATATTTAAAATTATGGGGCCTGTAATTAACAAATAAAACTGGGGATAATTAGAAGAAAAAAACGCACTTTACGTTAGAATTCTGTTTTAATTATTTTTCATGAATTTGAGGACCATTTAAGGATTCGTTCCACTGTTTCAGTTTTGAAATGATAGCAGGGTTTTTTAAAACTCAACTGATTTGAAATATTTTTTTCGATTGATTTTGTTTTTTATATAGCTTATTAGTGAAATGTAGTCTTTAAATATTTTTTGTTCTAGTAAACATCAATTGTGTACTGATAGTCTAAATGATGGTAATCAATATATAATTGCCTGTAAAATTTTATGAATGTAGCCAGTCTCCTTAGACAAATGCTTAGATTATTTAAATAAACAAATTTGAAAGATCTGTATCTTTCAAATTTGTTGAAGAAATTTGAATTCCTTTATTTAGACATTGTATATTTACTGCAATCAAAGATTTCGAAATTATAATATTTATTTTATGCAAAATTGTGCTGACTATATTGGCATTACAGTTATATAACTTTATTATGCCACAAGTTAAATGATGTAAGTTACTTGCAAATGTTAGGTGAAACAATGAGCTAAAAGCATACAATATGCTTTCTAGTTTGTTGAAATGCATATTATCAATAAATAAATAAATAAAAAAATTTTCCTTTCAAATTTTGTGTTATTTAAAAGAGGACAGTCATGTAACTTTTTCCATAAATTGTAACTGTTGGAATTTTACACATCAATTCTAAAACAATATAGTTTCTTAAAGCTGACTCCCAAAATATCTTAACAATTATGATATTATTGCCTTGTTATAACATATGTTATGCATTAGTTCTGATATACTCTTATATGCTCCGAAGTAATATGTCACAATACAGAATTTATTTTTCTCTGAAAATTTATTTACATGTAATAGTCATTTTTGCAGGTCAATAAGCTCATAATTTACTAGTTATTACCTCATACTCAATTTTTTTAAGTTTCTCAGTTAAAACTCTGTTTAATATTATTATTTTTTAAATTCTGAAATCACATAAATAATTGCATAAAATTTTTTTGACAAAAATTATTATTTTTTGAATTTCTGTTCGAAAAGTTAACTAGTTCTTACTTTTCTCCATAAAAATTTTTTTCTTTGCTTATAAAAATTTTTTATTTGAGAAATGGTATAATTTTTGAACAGAATTCATTGATTACAAATGACAACCTTTAAAAATAGCATAGCAAAGGGAAAATAAAAATATAAACTTTTAAATTACTTTGGGAAAGCAAAAAATTTTCATTTTCGAAAACAATGCAGATATTTTTTTTACTTTCATGATTAACCATGTATATAGTATACATTATATACCTATATATATAAAACAAATCTAATGTAATAAATTTCTGTCATAAAGCAATTAGTCATCAAAGATAGGGGAAATTTTATATATGACCATGTGTGGCAGAATAATTGCCGGCTCTTGGCAACTTTCGAGCAACGGCCTGTGAGAAAATAAAAAAATATCTCATAGAAGAGGACTCATTGGAAGAGCATAATTCCTAGGTACTTTAGCCAAACCTATATGTAATTTAAGAAAAATAAAAATTTATGAACTTCAATATGAAAATTGTTGTTGGCACAATGGAAGTTAATTAATTGGAAATATGTTTAATACAAAATTTTATGAAAATTTTGAACTTATTTGCATATAAATACTAATTTGGTAGTCATTAAAACTTGAAAATATTTATTAATAATTTTTTTTTTTTTTTAAAGTTTTGAATATTTATTTTAAAATTTTAAATTTGTGCTGCATATAATGAAAGCATTTTAGTTTCATGTTGTTGTAAAGCATTATTTAAGTTTTTTAACAGATGTTTTTTGCTTGTTTTTTTTCTCCAAATTTTAGTAAGGAACAGAATGAATGTTTAACCCATTGCACTACGCTAAAATTCTGATCAAGCCATGTCTAGATTTTGCACCCGAATGTTCACGAAAGGAGCCCAAGACAAGAGAGACAGAAGATACGAGGTTAGGAAACAAGATATAAAATACCTATTCATATGCAGTCCTTTCAGACGTTCATGTCTAGCCCGACACTAAGACCACATGTACAGCTCATGATGTTCACGTTTGGCCCGAAATGTCGACTACGAGCCAGACTCGTGATATTCACTTTTGACATGAAATTAAACAACAATCCTGACTTGTGATATTCAAGTTTGGCCTAAAATTTTCTTCAGGAGTCAGACTCGTGATAATAGTGCAAGGGTTAATGTAGTTTTCATCACTTATTTAATCGTTTATATCAAATTTTTAATGTGATTTTTGTTAATTGCATAATTTTGTCACTTATATAATGTTATTTAATTTTTAGAATGGGTGTTATTGAGTTTGAACTTTACTGGAAACATGCACCAAAAACATGTAGGAATTTTGCAGATTTAGCTAAAGTGGGCTACTATAATAATGTGATTTTTCATCGAATAATAACTGATTTTATGATTCAAGGTGGTGATCCTACTGGCACAGGTATAAATTATTTTTAAACACTTTACTTGCTTTTACCCATTTTAAAATTTTATTGTTCATATTTTACTTCTGTTAAATATAAATTATAAAATGATAGTCTATACACCTGATACATATTCTTCTGGGTTGAGGTCTTTGTCAAGGGCTCTAATACCAACTGACCGAAAAGAACTCTATTTAGTTTTTAAATGCAATTTCTTATTATAATATTTTCTTCTGGCTTAAAATATTTATTTGTATATTTTGATTTTTAGAAGTGTATGCAAAATTTAATCCTATTAATTGCAAGGACAACTTTTAGGTGTTAGCATAAAATGATAACCATCACTTTTGTTACTATTTATAAATTTTTTCCCTTTTAAATCATTGCAAATAGAAATTATGGGATTTTTTTTATTTGGTTATTTTATATTACATGGTAAATAAGTATGGTTTTTTAAACATCTTGTTCGTGCAAAAAATATGGCCAACACGTTGTGAGTAGATTTACTCTTTAGTAGCTGTTATTGAGGAAACAGCATGTTACGTACTAGCTGGCTAGAAACTTCTCTATGTTTGAAATGGGTAAAAAATTAATAAATTATTATTTTATGTCTAGATTAATTAACTGAAACTAAGAGGTTCACAGATTGTATTATCCTAAAACTTACGTGATTTTAATGTCACTGAATAATTTTGAACACAGCACTGAATAAGCTAACTTTTAGAGAGGATAATGAAGTCAAGCTTGAAATATAATTGATATTAGATTACTTATTTTAAAGGCCTTTCTGATGATTATTGTAGCTATTGAAAATTTTAATGTTAGCATTAGCAATTATATCAATGTGTTTTTTTTNTTTTTTTTTTTTTTTTTTTTTTTTTTTTTTTTTTTTTTGCAGAAATTTTTGTATCAATGTAATAAAGTCATGAGATTTTTCAAACTGAATTGTCAGAATACACTTTATTTATTAAATTTAATTTTTTCCAAAATTAGTTGAAGTCAAATTTGCCATTTGTCAGTTAACAATTATTTAAGACAAGATTTTTGTGCTCCTGATTTGTTGTGAAAAAAAAATCAAAATATTGCCACACTCACTTATCACAAGCCCTAATTTAACGAGAACCCAAATTAAACAAAAACAAATTGTCAATACTTGATTGGTGCAATGTTAGGTTTAATGGAGCATATCTCATTTTTGACGAACAAAGTCCGATTTTAGTGAGCACTATTTTTGTAATTCACAAAATTTCTGCGTATTTCCACCTCTCTAGCTCACTAAATCTTTTCTTGAAAAAATTCGCATAGCATTCTGATGACAACTGTAAGTTTGTGATGAGATATTAATCCAGCAAACGATCGCAATGCTTGAATACACTCTCTAGCGGGTAGTATATTTTCAGGCTTTTATATATTAAGTTTTCATTAACTTTGGAGATTTTGTGATCCCATACTGTTACAGATGTGTGTATTACAGTAAAATATATTTTTTGTCTTCAATTCATTACAAATTAAAGGGAAGTCAACATTACTTACTTTATTCAAATTAATAAATGTGATTTCAGAAAGCGCAGAACTGTAATAGTTATAGAATATTATTCTTCTGTATAGAATAGTATATATTTCTGAATCCTTAAAATTCGGACAACAACAAAGAATCATCCAAATTACTTGAAATAGTATCATTTGTGTTGATTATTAATAAATTTCTATGGTTTTCTTGGTAAGTATTTTTTAATTTTGAATGAATAATTTCAACTAGAATTCAGCTATTCTGTTTTTAAGTTACATATTAAAATTCATATTGAGATCTTACAATTATAAAATTTTGTTGTGTGGTATGCCATCTTAAACAGGGTTGCCACTCCACAGGGAGAACAGGAAAAACCTGGAAAATACAGGGAATTTAAAAATCACCTAAAATAACAGGGAAAAAGCAGGGAATTTTGATTTTTCGTTACAAACTGGAAAAATACAGGGAATTTTGTTTCTTATTTTTCTTTAAAAAATGGTGACCACTCAAAGTGGTCACTATGGGATATTTAACCATGATATTTCAGCTATACTAAACTATTTTATTTACTATAGCATTATTTAAGTATATTCAGCTGTTTTTCCAGCAATTAAAACTAATAAATATAATTAACCCAATATAGCTCACACAAGAGCACAGTAATTGTTGTTTCCTCTTAATATATTGTGTATAATATGTACAGGGAAAACACAAGGAATTTTTTTTCCAGATTTGAGTGGCAACCCTGTAAAAGTAATGAAGGGTTAATCAATGTAAATATTATTTGAGAATAAATATATTACTACTAAGAACATTTCATTTGGAATTCTCTGGATTTATAAAGCAAGTAAGTGTTATGATTTTTATAATAAAAAATTTACTTGTAAGTAATTTTTTTTCTAATTTGATTATAGTTTTCTACAGAATGGTTTTTTACGTCTGATTAAGAACTTTAACGATAAAAAACGGAAACAATATGAATTTTTTTTATTTCAATGTGAGGAATTTGTAGAATCGTTTTTTTTTTTATCATAAAAATTCTTTATTTAAAGTTTTTTAGTTTATAATTTTTTGATAATTGTTGTCAAAGAACTTTTTTTGCAATATTAAATGGTATAACATTATGTGTTTCTATATACTTTTTGTATATTTTACTGTTTGAAGTAATATGGTTCAGAAAAGTATAGAATGTGAAGTTTAAATAGACGTTTCATATTGGATTATTAAATTTAGTAGAACGATTTCTCAGGCATCTCTAATAAGAAGAGTTTTTATAAATATTTTCCGATACATTTTGGACGTTCCTTCCCTATAAAAAAAAAAAAAAGAGATTCAATTTTGATTTCACTTGCATAAGAAAGAAGATCAAGCATTTTTCTTTTTTCAATTTAATAAGCCACAATAAAGAAGGAAGGTTAACATGCTACACTGAAGAAATCTCCAATGCAACTGATGATAGTGTTGTTCTACTAGCAGTCATTCGTCTCAAAAAACAATGCCCCTTATAGGTCATTGCATTTGCAAATTTTTGAAACTTGAAATCTGTGGCATATTTTAATTTAATTGTTTGGGTATTTTATGCAAAACCCTCTAGGCCAAGGAGATCTACTTCTTTACTCTGCTCTCCAGTAGCATTATACTTCCTTAAGAGTTAAGTCGTGATGGTTCAGTGGTTAAAGACACAGAGCTGTCATTGCGAGGGACTGGGGTTTCATTCTCAGTGGCAGCTTGAAGCCCATCTGTCTGCTTCAGATGGATGGGCACCAGCTTATCTGGGAAGTAAAGGTGGTCTGTGCTTAATGCTCACTATATTATCTCATTCCCTCAAAATTGTGGAACTTTAACTTCCAGCAACCCCTGGCTCACAGTGGGTTGTTTTGGGTTTACTTCACATTTACCTCCTTTAAAGTACTTATTTTCATAGTACTGAATTGAATTTTTTCAAAATAACAGTTAAAATTTAGATTGTTTCTTAAAACTATCAAAGATTTTGAAATGACCTTACGTATTTTTAAAATTCTTTTTGGCATTCTTTGCTTGAGAAATCTGCATGCATGTTTTCTTAATGTGAACTAGAAAAATATTTTTCATTTTAAATCAACATGAATGTTTTGCTTAAATGCTTCATTCCTGAAACTTAGTTGTTATTTTTATGATTTAGGTCGAGGCGGAAGCTCTATTTATGGCAGGAATTTTGAAGATGAGATACATCCAGAATTAAAGCATTCAGGTGAGATGTAAATTAGAAAAATGTATATATTCAATAGAAAATATATATATATATATATTTTCTATTGTTATGAATTAATTTATAACCAGTTAAAAAATTTTTATTATAGGTGCTGGTATACTTTCTATGGCTAATTCAGGCCCTGATACAAATGGAAGTCAGTTTTTTATAACCTTAGCACCAACTCAGTGGCTTGATGGGAAACATACTATTTTTGGAAGAGTTAATAGTGGGATGCACGTGGTGCAGAGGATATCTAAAGTACAAACTGATAGTAATGACAGACCTGTTGATGAAGTTAAAATAGTTAAAGCCTACATAAAACATTTTACAAACTAATTTGATTAACAAATTTATGTACATATCTTTCTTTTATAATAAAATGTCTGTGGATGAATTTAATTCTATTTTTTGATGAAACTAGATTTAGTGATATCTTTAATAAAACATTAATTAGTCTAGCTGAAAAACCTGGATGTCTGACTACAATGTTTAAAATGGTAGTGAAATTACGATTAAAATAAGCGTAAATTTGCTACTTGATAATCAGGTCTTGTGTATTTGTTCAGTCATAATCATTGTAGATAAAATTTAATGAATCAATAATTAAGTCCAAATTTTATTAATCATTTTAAATATTCAAGAAAAATCACCCATTAAAACGAGGGAAGTTATTATGTATGTATGTGTGTGTTAATTATTGTAACACAATTGCTAATAAATGTTTTTTTATTGTATACTTTCTTAAGCATATGCTATGTTAAGCATTTTTTCTTTAGAAGCGAACACTATTTTTAAATATTAAAAAAGTGCATTTTTTTAATTTTGTCGATTTTTTAAACTTTGGGCTTTAAATTTTTTTGGTAAATGAATTTTGAAAATCAGCTTTATTTATGTTTTTTTTTCACATATTGTTTTAAACTATCAATAGCTGATGCAGCAAAAATTTTCTTAAATGTTTGCTGCATTAGTTAAAAATTCATTTTTTTTGTTTTTTTGTTTTGTTATGAAGGTTTATATATGTGTTATTTTTAATTGAAGTGATTGAATAGTCGAAGTTCATTTTCTCTACTTTGTTTATCTGCAAAAATTATTGTAAATTAAATGAATATCAAATAAATTTATTTAAGTATTATAAGTTCAAAACATATTTATTAATAAAACAATTTTTATCCAAAACATGTTATAAAATAGGTTATGCTTAAAAATCATGAACAGTCTAGTTTGTTTTTGAGTTTCTAATTAAACGAAGAAAAAACTTTTTAGAGTATAAAACTTTTTTTCTTGGTAATATGAATGATTCAACAGCTGATAAATCCAAAAGTGAAAGAGGAACGGCATATTACTTAACATGCACATTGAGATTACTAAATTATGCATTATATATATGCAAAATTATTCCCAATTAATTTTAACATTTACTGTTTTATACAATATTTTAAATAAGTAAGCTTTTGGATTTGGTAGTTTTTCAAAATGTATCCTAATCATATAAACTGATTTTATAACTAAATGGTGACTGAAACAACTTAATTTTGAAATTTAACGATTATTAACTTTTCTTGAAAATATGCAGAGTATGTAACAAAGTGATTTGTAATTTTTTTATTGATGGTAAGGTGCTAATATATCAATTCTAAAAGAATGTCCTTATTTTAAAGATCAAAGGCGAAAGAAAATATTTTATTGCAGTATTATTTACTATATAACTATTAAAATATATGACCAGCACTATTTACTGTATATTACACAGTGTGTTGCATTATTCAGTTGTTAACTAAAAGGTTTTTTTCTTCTAATTTCTACCCTTGCTAGTTTGAAAAAGAGGATAAATAAAGAAACAAACTAAACAAAATCCACACAAAATTTAAAAGAAAAAAAAAACAAAAGCTTATAATTTAAATTTGAGATAGAACTATTTTTGACAAGATGTTATCAAGATATTTAATGAAATATGCACATTTCTAAGTAAACTAACTTTTCTTCTCGTGTTGTTACCTAAGAAAATCAGGTGATATTAAACATTCTTACAAATGTGCAGAAGTGTGAGAAGCTTGATCCCACAGTCGAAACTAGACTGAAAATCAAGCTTACTTAAAATATACATATTCAACAGAGTTTAAATTAACAATATATATTAACTGTGACTATTGTATCCGTAAATATATATGAGTAACAGCCAGATATGCAAATCTGTAGTGCTAGCTTTCATTGTAGAGCTATTAGGAGCAGATTTAATTATTTGCAATAATGTTTATTGAGCCGTGGTGGCTCAATGGTTAGAGCACCGAACTGTCATTGTGAAGGGCTGTGGATGGATCCCCTTTTGGTGGCTTAAAGCCTACCCATCTTCAGATATGTGGGTACCAGCTTGTTTAGGAAGTAAAGGAGGCTACATTGGAGGCTGACTACATTGCCTCAATCATGTCTTTGGAACTGAAATTGTTGAGACTCCACTTCCAGGACCCTCTCCCGGCCTACTACGGCTTCTGCGGGAATGCTTTGCTTATACCTTTTATTATTAAGATAAAAAACTCTGGAGTTGATATTTCAAAAGTTATTCTATTTCAAACAATGAAATAAATTCTAATGAATGGTCAAACATCTATTTCTCAGTTTTTCAACAATTTGAAGTATAAATCCTTAGTGATAAAGAGAAAAAAAAGTATTAAACATTAAAAAACTTTTTATTTCTCGAAGTTAGATTATTTTGTGGAAATTTTTATCCTTCCAAAATTAAAATTCAACAATTTTGTTAATTTTAAAATTATATCCAGCCAACAGTTTAGTAGTAGGATGGTACCATGGGTTTATATTGATAGTCCTAAATTTTTCTTTTAGTGTGGTAAGTTTAAGTAAATGTTTAGATCTAAAGCCTTTGTTTTGGGAAGTAATTGTTGTAATTGACAAAGTTTTCTGATTAATATATTAAATTAGTACAATTGTATGATTTGAATGAGTCTTTTACTTTGTTAGAGATTTCGTTTTTTCTCTAGTTTCATAGTTGTTAATGACTCACTCATTAAAACCTTTTGTGTAGATTTCACATTGAGTTCAAACTTTACTAAAGATTTATTTTACGGAAGAGTATTTAATCGTTTAAGTCTTTGTGATTTGGAAAAAGGGAACAGAAGGATAACAGTACTGAATTGAACATCGCCTCAACTTTCTTTTGAAAAATTCAATCAAAAAGACAGGTACAATAAATTATTTGTGAAATTTTTTCTTGTTTTTATGCTACAGTAAAATATTTTATTCACATTTTGATTGGTCCAATATTTTGTAATTTGAAAAGTTTTTGGTTTCTAATCAAACTTAGTTGTCAAAGTTACAATGTCTATGAAACAACAAAAGTATGAAAAAAATAAGAACTTCTCTTCAAATCACAAAAAGGCTTTTTTTTTCTTCAAATTTTTAAAAAATCCTTGGTATAAGAGGTCAATAAAAAATTGGAAATTAGAGCTTCCTAATTTGGTATGTTGAAGTCAAGTTTGTTTAAGTAAATTTTGTAAAAATTAAACAAAACTCGTGGTACTTAGCAAATAATTTGTAGTAATTTTTTTTTCTTTCTACAGTTTAAATACAAATGTAATTGTGGTGGCGGTGATTGTCATTCCAAATTTAGAATGGTAGTTCAGGTCTCATTTTTGACTTTCGGCCATTACAGATACATCTTAATTTTAATGTAATATAGTGTAAATGAATAAAATCATTTGATTTATTAAGTATTAAAAATGGCCATAATTCAAAATATAAAAATAAAGAAAAACCCCTTAAAGGGATCAAGAAAAACAATTCTCTTCATATCGAAAACTAGGCTTGATAGTCAACGGTTTGGATATCAACCCTTTAAGCTAGAAAATATGTAATGCCTATTGTGGCATCACAGTAATAATTGAACATAATATATTGGATATTCATGATGACAAATTTTTTTATTGTTAACCAAATATTAATACTTTTATACAGTGCTGTAGTGGTTTATTTTTACAAACAAATATTTCAATCAGAGCAAACATTTTAATATTCAATGCCAAAAGGATAGTTTGAATCATCCTTCAACCTAAAAAAAAAAAAAAAAAAATCAAAGCATTAAAAGTCAATAAAGCTTTAGAAACTAATTGAAATTTTTTGCATGCGAAGAAAACAAAATGTTAGCGTAAATAATATTTAAGGCATTTTTGCTGAGTTTAAATCTACAAAAATAATGAACATTTGAAATAACTTAATACAAAACTGTTTTTATTAAAGTGCTTGATATCTAAATTAATACAAAACTGGTTTGGATTCTAAAAGTAGAAACCTTTAGACAAGTATTCAATAAATTAAGCTATAATCTTGGCACTTTTTCAAAGTTCAGTAAAATTAATTAAAAAGCTTATTTCTTTGTTGGTTGGTAGGTGCACTCCTACAATAGACTATATTTTAGACATTTTTAAAGGAATCAAATTATCTTATAAAATCACCCGGTGCTGATAAAAATCAAAGAAGTATAATATTTAAAGGTCTTACCAAATCAAAGGGCAATAACGGAACTTCTCTGTAAAGCTAGCAACTTTTATCATTTCATCTTGAGTAAGTGCAAAATCGAAGTTCTAAAAAATAATATTTTCAAAAAGTAAACCGTAAAAAGTAATTAATTAAAAAGTTAAAAATAAGTAATTATTAGGAACAGCTCATGGTTAGAATAGAGAAGTATGGAAAAATACATCTATCTTCGAAATAATATAATGACACATAAGATTATACATTAACTCAAATTATAAAAATAAAAGTGGTTAGTTTTTTAAAATGAGAGGCAGGAGAACTTAAAGCTCGCTTGAAATAGTGACATTTGTTTTCAGAATTCAGTCATAAATTATCGATAATTTTTTAATTGTAAATTTAATTACTCAAATATTGTGTGAAAAATTGCAATCTTTAAGGCGGCTGTGTTTTTTCATTTATTCATTCGCAAGGAAGCTGAAGCGCCCACTGCTCCCCCGCCGGTCCCTGATATGACACATTTCAATGAATAAAATGTTCCAAAATCAACACATAGGGGCAGAATTCCTTATCTGTCTGAAGATAATCCTTAGTGTTTCAAAAAACAGATCATACGTTATTATTTCTATTTATGTCGGATTATTATAAAATTTAATTGTAAAAACGGAGAGAAAGAAAGTTTGGCCCTAAATACATGCCCTAAAATAAACATATCCAACTCAGTAAATTGAAACAGGCTCTACGCAAGTTCAGTGGCTCGATGAACAATACAGGCCTTTTAAATAAGCATATTAAGGATTTTTAAAAAAAAAACTTAAATTCAGCATATTATTTGAATCTTAAGATCAGATTGAATCTTAACAGGTTTGTTTGCATATTGGTTTGTTAGTAATGATATAAGAGTTCTTTGAAAATTGTTAGTGTGACATAAAAATTATTTATACCATAAGTACAAGATTTCTTTAAAATTAATTTTTTTATGAAATTAGCAATTTTATAAGTTTTATTATTTGTGCAAAATTATTTAAAAAATGAAGGGTTAACATACTATACATATAAGACATACTATAATTGTTTAAAACTCTTTCAATATTAACTTGTCGAGTAGACACATTCTTTTAGATAATATTCAAATAAGCTTAAAATTAGAAAGCAATCTCAATTAAAAAAGAGAGATAGAGTTGTGTTTATTTATAACAAAAAACAATTATCTAAATATTTCCATATGGCTTGCAATTGTAATCTATAAAAACTGATATAATTTACACAGATATTCTTTTAAGACTAATAAAAGAACAATAAAAGAAACATAAATATTATTACTAAATACATGACACAACATTCAAACTATAAAAAAAAAAAAAATTAGTTAAAAATATCATTTTTACTTTAAAGTTGCCTATTATTCTTTCTTCTGTAACACTCTTAGGGATGACGACAACTTCTCGCTGAACATTAAATCGTAACAGAATCTAAAGAGTAACAAAATATTTTAATTTTTAATACATAAAGTATACCTGAAATAATAAATAAAATTTGATATGCTTACATGAAATATTTTAAAGGAAATGTTTTAAAATATTTATAATAAAAGTTTTGCTTCAAAAAATTAAATGGTAAATTTACTTTAAGTAGACAGCTAGCAGAATGTCATGCACATGTTTTTTAAACAGAGTTAATTTTCAAAAAAGGTAACGATTTGTTTGTTATTGTAAATTAGAATAAAATACATAAGTCTTCTTCTTCTGAAAGGTTGGAATTTTAAAATCCTTTTCTCAAAATAATTTTATTTTGATGCATAGTAGACTTCTTAATAAAGAGTCTTTAGTGTTACAACCAATTTGGAATTTTTTAAATCGGATGAAAATGAAAAGTTTGTGCAGACGTTAATTTTTTGATATTGACAAAGGAAGATATGATATATAGGGTTCACACTAGCAATGAAAATTTATTGGTCTAATAGGACCACTTAGATATTCATTTAGTGGGTCAAAACTTTAATATGGTAGATAAATTAGAGGGGGAAAATCGAACTTTACAGTTACATAAGTCATGTTATTATTATATGGCGCAGAAACCTGGAAACAGACTAAGATCGAAATACAAAAATTGGAACCCTTTCAAAACAAATGTTTAAGATTTATTTTTAAAATTTTCTGGCCTTACAAAGTATCAAGTAAAAATCTATTAAAGAAAGCTAAAATAAAAACAATAGAAGATGAAATTAAAAAACGAAGATGGAGCTGGCTCGGACATATCCTTAGAACGCCCAAGGAAAAAATTACATCTGTTGCGCTTACATGGGCCCCTGATGGTAAAAGAAGAAGAGGAAGACCCAGACTTACCGTCCAGCGCATGTTTTTGGGCGAATTAAGAGAATGTGGAATATCTGGCTCGGAGGAAGCAAGATCTATTGCTAGAGACAGGAGGCGTTGGAGGGATATGCTAGAGGCCTTAAGTGCCCAAAGGCACGTAGAAGATAAGTAAGTAAAGTAAGTAAGTATCAAATATTATTAATAAATATTTATAGCACCTTACAAGTGATTAGTTTCATTACCATATAATGATTGAAGATTAGTATTTATTAAAATTAATTTAAAAAAGCTGGAATAATATAAGTAAATAGTTTCAACATAGATATTAAAATGCACGACTAAAAAGGGCATTAAGGAAAATAGAAAAAGTAAGAATTAACAACTATATTGTCTAAAAATTACAAAATTTTGAATAAAGTCATTTCCAAGCGAGCAGAAAATATTGTTTCATTGACTAACAATTATACTTTCAGTACATGAATTCCAAAGTACAGCACAACACTGTAAGTATGAAATTTCAACATTTCAATTTAAAAATTTTTGCATCGAACAATCTCAGTTGTTCCATTTGAATACCACACCGTACAACGAGTAGAAAAATAAGATTAGTACAAATTTTTTTTAACTGCAAGGTATTTGATGTAAAAAAAAAACTATTTTTCCTTACTATTTTGTAAATTTGAAACGTATTTCAAGTCGACAAATTTGTTGCTTACGCATATGATTTTTAGCGACATTTGTAGAACAATTGGTGACAATTTTCGCCTTGTCATACTGGCGTGAATCCTAATGATAATATTTCTTTTTTTTTCCCCACAAGAAGCAAATTTTTCTAATGTAAGCCATGCAGTTTAACTCCTTTACTTACTTAAAAAGCTCACAGAAGTTTTCTTTTTCAATGAAATAATTTATCAAGGTTTTGCTTAAGAGTCATAAATCATTGTAAACCTAAACTAATTTTAGTTCATACCACTACACTAACTTAAAGTTAATCATTTAAAGAGAATTTGATCATTCTGATTTTGTAAATTTTATGTTACTTGATAAAAATTTCAAAAGATTATAATTAGCTTAATAAAGCTAAATAGTATAAGTGGCACTTGCAGTCAAAAAATAATAAGTTTCTAAGGTTTTTATTTTGGAATAATTTTCATACCAAAACCTAGAGAGAGTACTTGAAATAAAAAGAAGGCATAAAAATAAAAGGGATAAGCATGTTTTAAATGCTTTTATAGTTAGACTATATAGGCACCATAACTTATTTAAATGGGGAAAATACTCATAATAACTTACTAGTTAACAATTTTTTTACTTACAATGTATTTAATATAACGTTTATTACAATAATTTTTTGACATTTTACTTACTACTAAAATTTCATGCATTCATTCCAATTTTAAATTCCAATTCCATTCCAATTTTAACTTTAGTAAATGAAAGTTTAAACTTACTTGAGCGGGAGTTTTATTGTATTTTTCAGCAAGTTTTTTAATTCTCTCATCATCCAATAGACAAGGTTCATCTGGTTTATTCCTAAAAACAAATTCAATAATGTTGACAAGCCCAAATTTCTTTTGCAAAATAGTAATGAATTAGATCGATAAAAATTTAAAATATTGAAGCAAGCTGAAAGTAACCAAGAAAATTTTTTTTTATGTAGAATAGTAGAAAAAGCTTTATATTTTTTCGATAAAAATAATTCTAAAGAATTGTAAGTAATTTCTAATACAGCAATAAAGAGAAGAACAATAAATTTCAATTCAATCACAAAGAAACCTTTTTGTATAACTTTCAATATAACTTACCATGGTCGATCAGGAGATCCTAGAGGGCTGTATGCAGTAACAGCAATGTCGTTACTTTTACAGAACTCAATTAACTTATTTTGATTCAAATAAGGGTGGCATTCAATCTAACAGAGAAATGTAACATTAAAAAAAACTTTCATTTACAAGTACAGGAATTTTTTACAAATCACAATGACACTGTGGTTTTCAATAAAACTAACCAGACAAAAAATATCAAAAGAATACCAAATTGCCATCTTTTTTAAACACAGATGAGAGTCATTATTCTTAAAAAATATTTATGCATAGTAAGATAAATTTTTTAAAGTACGTATTTTAAAAAATTAAATTGCAAGAAAAGAAAAGGGAAATGAAATACTTATATTCAACAATTTGCATTTTTCTAAATAAATAAATTTCCATATACACTCTATAACAAAAAAAGACGCGCAAAATCGACGCTCGATCAAGCTGGAATGATGCCGACTGGCGACGTATAGTCTTTAGCGACGTTATAGTCTTTCCGAACTGTGTCCTGACGATAATCGAAGACGTGTTTGGAGACGCACAGGGCAGAGTGGGGATCCTGCCTTCGCTATTGCGCGCCACACCGGCCTTCAACAAGGCATTATGGTCTGGGGTGCCATTTCCTTTCACAGCCGGACCCCTTTGGTCGTCATTAGAGGTACACTTACTGCACAGCGGTACGTCGACGACATCTTAAGACCGGTTTTGCTACCGTTTCTTTTGCAGCGCCCTGGGTTGGTTTTTCAGCAGGACAATGCCAGACCACATACGGCACGTGTTGCTATGAACTGTCTGCAAGCTTGTCAAACTCTTCCTTGGCCTGCCAGATCACCAGATCACTCTCCCATCGAGCATGTCTGGGATATGATGGGAAGGCGATTGCATCTGGCACGGGATGTTGATGACCTCGTTCGACAATTGGATCGAATTTGGCAGGAAATACCTTCATTCAATTCAGAATTCAATTGTTTTGAAATTTTAATCATTTACTATTCTGTACATTGATAACCGCCACATTTTATAAAAATTACACATTAAATACAAGAAGTACATTCTGCTCAACAAATGATTATCAATCAATATATCTTCTTATATATATATATTACTGATTCTCTTTTAATTGTATGATATAATAAGTTGCTCTATATAAAAAAAGAGAGAGATAGAGGGAAAAAAAAGTAAAAGTTATGGAAACAAAACAGAAATATTTTCTCAAAATAATGGACCCTGGCATCCCAATTACTGGGGGGTGGGGGAGTCCGGACGCTTCGGACCCCTAGGGATTGTATATATATACTGACAACCTGAACCCAGAGTTGTTCTTGTTGGTTCTTTTGTTGAACTCTGTAATTATTCTTGATGTTATGTTGATAGCGAACCAGCAGTTTTGTTTTTCCTGATGAGCTTAATTTATTCTAAATAGATTTGTTTATTCAATTAAGTCTTCAAATATATCTTCACTAGCATAATTTTTAAAAAATCTTCCTTTTTAAGGGAAGGTGGTTTAGATGATGTTGCTAACACATTGAATAAGCATTATGATTGAATCTTAATGCTTAAAAGTGGAAATGTAACATATATATTTTTTTAAAAATTGTAAATAGTTCTTACAATATATTTTAATAATTTTTTTTCCATTCTAACCTAACACAGTTTTTTTTCCTCATTTTGTATTAACTTTCCAGACCAAAACTAAGTTGATAATTGCTCTAATTATTTGAAGATAAATATTTAAAATAATAATCAGATGATTACTGAATAATTAAACTATACTTTACCAAAACTAGTGATATGATAGTAAAATGGTATCATATTCTTTATACATTTTGTATTGCCAATCCTGTAAACAGCAAAAAGAAAATGTACGAAAAAAGAGGAGGCGCAAAGCAAAGGAAACAAGCTGATGTAATGTAATAGAATATAATAGTGCTCATGATTTAAGGATTTTAAAAATAGGGTGATTATTCAACTAGTTATTTAGTTTACTTGAATCTGATCATAGATAAAGCAAATAGAACACTACACAGCACTTACTTGCAAAACAACTGGCTTGATTTTGCACACATCAAGAACTCTACGAATCTGTTCACTGTTGAAATTGGACAGACCAATAGCTTTGACAAGACCTTTATCATAGCATTCCTCCATACCCTATAAAAAAGTTTTATCACAAAACATAGGGATGTCTATGAATCACTTAGAAGGAGAGGGTTCATCAAATTGTGAGAGTTTGTGACAAGAGGGACGTATAGCAAGATGTGTGACAGATTATGGTTAAATGGACATTACATGGCAGGTAAAATATTTTTGTATTTTTTATGTTACGTTTTTATCAACTTCTTATTCAAAATAATTACAAACAAAATCCTTGTTATACTTTCAATAAAACACACAGTTAAAGCTTTAAAAAAAATTGAAATGTGATGTTTAACATTGTGCCTTGTTTCTGAACTGATACATGCTTGTAATATAGCTTGACAAGGGAAAGGGTATAGTGAAGTTTGTCAATTTGTAACAAAGGGAAAGTAATTTATGGATGGTATAATCATAAATGGAAAGCATAAAATGAAGAATTTCCTAAATTATTATGATCTGACAGAGTACTTGAAATAAAANTATGATTTTTTAAGAGGCAAGCGAAGCTTAAGTGTTCCTTCACTGGTTAGTTTACCCTATTAAAATTGAATAATATCTTCAAATATTCATAATTTAAATGCATTTAAATAACATATTTTATGTAGAACACGGAATATTTTTTCCAATACTTCATTAATTACATTACTTCTTATTTCTTTCATACATTGCCCAAATTGCAAATAAACTTGTTTTGTTTACAAGAAGATATAATTTATTGATAATCATATAGATATTTTCATAATCTGAAAGAAAAAAAAAGACTTTAGTCTGTACATCTGAAAGAAAAATTGAATTAATTCTATTATACTCTTCCACTTCAGAGCAACTATTTCATTTTATTGATTGAATGTTACTGTCAATAATACTTTAAAAGTGATTCAATAATCCTCCTCTTTTTAAAAACAAAAATTATATCATAAACTAGATATTAATATTGGCTGAATGATGTGCTTAGAATAATTCTTAGCACCCTAAAAGCAGTAATATTTTCAAGTAAAGAAAAGGAAAAAAGATAAAGGGATTCCGAATAAATGCTCATCCAACAAATAAAACCTGAATAATGAAAATACTTTTGAGTGATTGGAAAATATTTTTGAAAATCTCATTAATTGACATTAGTTACTATAGACTTATAGGATTTGAAAAATCTAAGATTCACACAGCCTGGAGGGATTATATACCAAATATATCTAGTCTAATAAAATAATAACGATATAAATACCATATATATCTTGTCTTTAAAACTAAAATTATAATTCATTGAAATTATCTTTTTGACTGTAAACAAATAACAATAGAAAAACTTATAAAATAACAGAAAGTGAAATAGAAGTTCCATAAGAAGTTATCATATGAAGTGTGATATGAGTTTGCATATGAAGTTAAAGTAAAATATTTCCAACATCAATGATTGAGGAAAGCTCTTTTTCTCAAAAAGATAAAATGCGAAATTTTATTATTGGTTGGTTTTTAAATTGAGAAACAAAACCTGCGTTGATATATACATAGATATACATATATATACATACATATACACATACATATGTACATATACATATATACACATACACATACACACACATATATATTGTATATATTGTACATATATCTATATGTATACATAAGATAGCTCCACTAATTTTATTTTAATATAACTTATGTATCATAACGCACCCACTTTCATATAATGTAAAAAACTTGAAATTACTGTATCAAAAATAATAACATTTTTGAGTAATAGTTTTAAAATACTAGTTTAAAATAAAATAGTAAATAATAATAACTAAATAACCTTCCACGTTTCTATGAAGTCAATATTTTCTGTTAACGTCTCGTTGTTCTCATCTTCGGGAAAAAGTTCATCTCCTTCCTTAAAAAAAATTAATAAATTAATGTATTGAAAAATAAAATAAAATATATTATTTATAAATTTAGAAAATTGCCAAGTAATAAAATAATGTAATAAAATGTTTCTAAATAAAATATAAAGATAGATAAATAAAAATTACTTTGTAAGCGATTGGCCAATGGATGAGGAAGAGATCCACATAGTCAAGCTGTAAATCTTTCAATGATCTTTTACAAGATTCAATAACTTTTTCTCGTCTATGAAATGTGTTCCATGCCTAAAATTTAAGAACATGCATGAGGAAAACATTAAAAATGCATAAAAAAAGTTAAAATGCCAGATAATTATATATTTACACATAAGAATTTTATTTATAAAACTTCCTTAAAAATAAATCATGCGAACTGAAAAAGTTTTAGTTAATAAGCAAAACGAAGAGGTCAACAGAAGTTAAAGAGTTTTTTTTCTACAAACAACAATTAATTATTTTTTAAAATAAATGCTATTGAATCGGCAGATGTTTTATATTGAAAAATGCCTGAAGTAACTTTGCTTGATGCTAAAAAATAAGAATGTTTGACAGGATAATTAAAATCTCCTTAAAATGAAAGATTTGCTGATCTTGGAAGAAAAAAAATTAGATAATTCCATAAATTACATTTCATATAATTGTTTATTTAAAATTCAATTTCAAAAATTCAATTTACTATGAAATCTTTGATTAATATACATCATAATATTAGCATATTTTCCTTTGTTGCACTGAAACAGGTGAGAAGCTTTATTGCTTTTTCAATAACCACAGTTAGCAAATAAACTGAAAGCATTATTAAATATTTACTCTATAATATTATTAATTACTATATTATTAAATATTTACTCTATATTGTCTTTATAATAACTCATTCATACTTAAAATTTTGGAAAAATTTTGCTATCTGTATCTATGCCAAAACAATTGAAAAAACCCAAGAGATTTTTAGGCAATGGTCCTGTGGTCTAGATCCACCGCAAAGAACTTTAAAAAAAAAAAAAAAAAAAAAAAAAAAAAAAAAAAAAAAAAAAAANATATATTGTATATATTGTACATATATCTATATGTATACATAAGATAGCTCCACTAATTTTATTTTAATATAACTTATGTATCATAACGCACCCACTTTCATATAATGTAAAAAACTTGAAATTACTGTATCAAAAATAATAACATTTTTGAGTAATAGTTTTAAAATACTAGTTTAAAATAAAATAGTAAATAATAATAACTAAATAACCTTCCACGTTTCTATGAAGTCAATATTTTCTGTTAACGTCTCGTTGTTCTCATCTTCGGGAAAAAGTTCATCTCCTTCCTTAAAAAGAATTAATAAATTAATGTATTGAAAAATAAAATAAGATATATTATTTATAAATTTAGAAAATTGCCAAGTAATAAAATATAGAAGAGACCTTCATTTCATGTATTAAAAAGTCTGCATGTTAAATTAGAACATAGACATAATTTTTGACATTTGTCACAGACATAATTTTTGCAATGATTAAGAGAGACATATTTTCTTCTCGAGCTGTTTTTCTAAATGGATTTGAATCAATTCATTTAAAAGTTCTAATTTAATTCATACAGGGATGGAAATTAAGTAAATTTGGACTATGATCCAAGGGACCTAATAACTTAAAAAAATAACACAACACTGAAAAACCATGAAGCAAATGCTACCTACAATATGTTTACTTTTATAGCTGGTCCGGGCAACCATTCCTAATTTATTTAATGGTGGTCCACACGAAATTTTATTGTTCTCACATAACTGTTAATTTCGACCTATCACATGTAAAATTTTCTCATATTACATCTAAAGCATAACTAACACATAAATTAATCTTGATATTTATCACATTAAGCTCGATGATAATTTAATAAATTTTAATAAACGTGATTCCTTAACTTTTAAATGTTTCTAAATAAAATATAAAGATAGATAAATAAAAATTACTTTGTAAGCGATTGGCCAATGGATGAGGAAGAGATCCACATAGTCAAGCTGTAAATCTTTCAATGATCTTTTACAAGATTCAATAACTTTTTCTCGTCTATGAAATGTATTCCATGCCTAAAATTTAAGAACATACATGAGGAAAACATTAAAAAAGCATAAAAAAAGTTAAAATGTCAGATAATTATATATTTACACATAAGAATTTTATTTATAAGGTTTCCTTAAAAATAAATCATGCGAACTGAAAAAGTTTTAGTTAATAACCAAAACGAAGAGGTTAGCAGAAGTTAAAGAGTTTTTTTCCCTACAAACAACAATTAATTACTTTTTAAAACAAATGCAGGCAGATGTTTTATATTCAAAAATGCCTTAAGTAACTTTGATTGATGCTAAAAAAATAAGAATGTTTGACAGGATAAAATGAAAGGTTTACTGATCTTGGAAGAAAAAAATTAGATAATTTCTTAATTCACATTTCATATAATTGTTTATTTAAAATTCAATTTACTATGAAATCTTCGATAAATATGCATATTTTCTTTGTTAAACTGAAACAGGTGAGAAATTTTATTGCTTTTTCAATAACCACAGTTAGCAAATAAGCTGAAAGCATTATTAAATATTTACTCTATAATGAATTATATTGTGTTTATAATAACTCATTCATACTTAAAATGTTAGAAAAATTTTGCTATCTGTATCCACGCCAAAACAATTGAAAAAACCCAAGAGATTTTTAGGCAATGGTCCTGTGGTCTAGGTCCACCGCGAATAACTAAAAAAAAAAAAAAAAAAAAAAAAAAAAAAAAAAAAAAAAAAAAAAAAAAAAAAAAAAAANTCAAAAAAAAAAAAAAAATAGAAAAATAAAAAATAAAAAAGAACATCAGGTAGCCAACCCCACACAAATCTCTAGATATTTTTAAATTTTGCAAGTTTAAAAATCGCCTTGGTATTTGTATGAAAATATTATCATTTGTTTTATAGAATTAAAATGACCTATTAAGAAATACCTTTCCTTAATAATTAGAACCAAAATAATAATATTCTTTATTGTTATTTGATATAACTATACATAACTTCGATATATAACTATTCATATGAACTTACTTTAGTAGTCACAAAGATATCTTGTCGAGTGACAGTTTTATCAGCAATCTTTTCTTTGATTGCATTTCCAACTTCTTCCTCATTTTCATATGCAAGAGCACAATCAATATGCCGATATCCACACTGAATGGCACACTTCACGGCTTCAAATACTTCACCAGGTTTAGACTAAAAGAAAAGAAGTTAAACTAAAGATGCATGGGAAATTTAAAATTTTATAAGAATTGAATTTACCTTCCATGTGCCTAAACCGATAAGAGGCATTTCCATTCCATTGTTCAATTTAATTTTGGGGGCTAATTTTATACTGTAAAAAAAAGATAAATATAAATAATGTAATTAAAGAGCAATAAGACATCCCTCAAAGAAGGTAGAAGTTACAAAACAAGCAATATTGCTGATTTCTTTGCTGTGACTATAATTATTGTGCAAGATTTGAGATACCAACTCTTAAAGTTGTAGCATAGTTAAAATCACAACGTCATGCTAAAATTAAAAATATTTTCTATTTTTACACCAAAATAATTGCCAAGTATTGACAGTGGTCTTGAGAAACTAAAAATGATAGCGTAAAAAAAAAGCATCACAGAAAGGGACCAATTTGAAGGTTATAACTAGGAGCAACCCTTGGCCAAATCTTCACTTAGTTTTTAAAAAATTTTTGTAAGTTTATAATCCCTTTTTACGCCTTGGCAATAGTAGTTCGAGCTTACAGGTAGCAATACAGAAATATCCTCCTTAAATTCATATTTTATAATTAAGGCGCATGTAATGATGAAATGAATGTTAAAGGAGTTAAAATTTCATCACAAAGGTCTGATGAACTGAGAACCAACTGAAAACAAATTCAATTAGTTTTTTTCTCCCTTTCTACAATAGGATTTATGTATAAGCAGTGGCGTATCTAGGGTATGGCAACTATGGCGAATCGCAAAATCGATCAACATCAACGATTTTTTATTTAAAAAGTTTATTAAATGTTTTTTTTTCCTTCTTTTTTTAGTTAGGGCAAAAATTAAAAAAAAAAGCATACAACATTCAATCTTACCATGTGGGCTCGAAAAGAAGACATCGATGTCTCTTGAGGAACTCTTTTTGTAACTTGGGGATTGAAGAGGAAAAGGGATCCGCTGATCGTAAAAACAAAGTAAGTGATGAGAGTTAAACAATTTTGTCCACCCACTGTTTTTCACAACTTCGTTTGCAAAATCTTAGACCACCGTCGTAAGGGATAATAAGAGGGTCACCAGAGGAGATTTCCGGTGCTTTTGTATAAGTCGAAAAGCGAGCAAATCTCCTTTGATTGTTACATTAGCTTCAGCATTAAAAAAGGGGGGAAATAAGAAAAAAAAACATTCCACATATCAACTCTTTTTAGACGACCTGTCTGATAACAATTCCTACACGTTTCTGCATTGCATTCATTTACAAGACACTTTTTCTTTCTTGATGCTTTCAAGTTAAGCAACACAGAAATCAAATTGTATATAATTTTGTAATTTTCATGAATACATTCACGATAAATACTAAAATAAATAAGTAATAGCTTTTACTTTTCGGCTGTTGTATTTACGACGATTTCTTCAAAAACCAAATTTTAATTGTAAAATTGTAATTTAAAGAATAATGCTTAGTTTTTAATAATTATAATTATTACTCTCTTTACTAACTTTTTGATACATTTCAATAAAAATATTTTTAATTTTAGAAAGTTTCCTAATCATACCATTTTCTTCCTTTTTTTAAAAAAAAATAGATTAAATAATTACTATTTTTTCATTTAGTAAGTCTTTTACAATATTTATCACTTACATTACATTTATATAATACCATAACATATTACTTAAAAAAAAATTTATACTGCTCTTAAAAGGGTTCATAAAGTGTCCTCTATTTATATATTATACTTATATACTATATTTATTTCTTATAATCAAAGAAAAATCGTAACAAAATAATATTAAGTTAAGTTATAATATGCAGTTTATAACCAACCAATACCACATTTTAATAACTCTGAAAACTTATCAATAAAGTGGCAATCACAATAATTTTTTATTATATATAATTATTTTTATTTTAAGAATATAAAAAAACAATAAGTATCTTATATATTGAAAAATTAGAGCTTGTTTAATTATGAAGCATCTGCATTCTTATAACGTATTTAATAAAGATACAAAAAGCCCTCTTTTCCTCAAATATTCCGAATTATATTTCTCTTTTTACTTAAAAACAACTTTTAAAACTAATTAATTCTGATTTGTTTTAAAATATTTTGTTAAAAAAAACTGTTATGCAGGCCGGTCTATATTCATGCAGTTCGAATACGGAGTTCGGATTCCTCAGAAATCGAATTTTAAAAAAATCGGATATTCAAAGTTTCATTTCTCAGACAATTCGATCATTCGTATTTTCCCATGATAAATTACCGTCTTTTAAAACGATGTGAAAAATCTATACCTTACAATTCAAATTTTTGTTACGACTATTATTAAATAAAATAATATATATTTACTAAAAGTTATTTTATAATTAAAAGCGGCCTTTATAATTGTATGGAAAATTCTTTTTTCAATTCACTTAAATAGCTCTCGAGTTACTTCTCAGATTGCGGCTACCCCATAGAGCAGTGTTTCCCAAACTTATGACTTCTGTGTACCCTTTCTAAATTTTTCGTAACGCTGTGTATCACTAATAAAAAAAAAATAATGTATTTTTTACTATAAAAAATTGCACAAAAGTTAAAAATCGCAACAGGCTGTTGACACCACTAATTATTAACTGCTCTGACAAAAATAGCCAATAGAAAATACGTAATCGTAATTTTCATGGCTAGCTTTGTTTTTAAATAAAATTTTTTGAAATTTTCGTTTGTTGCAAGATATTTCCCACGGGAACGCGTACCTCCACTAAACTGTTCCCGTATCCTTGGGGGTACACGTACCACACTTTGGGAAACACTGCCCTAGAGTTCCAGAGTTTTGTGAGTAATTAAGTGTACATTTTAGTTATTATCTGTTATTATATAATGTTTGTAAAACTTAATTACATTAACAGCATCGGTCTTTTTATTGAACAGTAAATAAACTAATCAATATATATAATTCGATTGTAGCTATTTTATTTGTAATTATCGTAACAAATCGTAATTATTTACACTGTGATCCTTAATGAATTTATTTTGTAGCTATGATTTTATTGTTTTGATGTTCGCTAAGCATGATTATCTTTTAAAAAATCAATTTCATTCAGTTATAATTTTGAAAATATTGGGTTATCATCCTGCTATGTTACAGTCTTCTTTAATCTAGGTACATTTGCTGTGTGCGTATTTTTGTTATCAAATTATATTTGTAAAACTTTAAAGTATAATTGTGCTTAATTAAACAAATTGTTAGAATTTTTATTGACAATTGAAAAAACGCAATAGAATCTTCTATAAATAATGTAAAACAGACCTTTTTATTTCCAACCAATGATGATTACGAATACACGTGAAAGCATTACAATTGAAAAAATATAATTTTATAGTTATAGTTAATTTTTATTTATTTACTAATCTATTTTTTTAAAAAGGAAATACAATGCTATCTTTTTGCAATATTGCCAAAGGGTTAAATACTTCAAAGAATGCTTTTATTTCGTATTGCATAAAAAGAGAAAGAGAATTTAAATATTTTTGGAAGGGTACCAATACAAGATTTGCCATAGCTTCTTTCTATTGATACGCATCTGTGTATACCCCAGCTGAATTTGAGTTATGCACTTACATTATATTTTCATAGAGTTTTTATCTTACTATTAATTGTTATTACATTTTGGATCTAAATAAATGTGAAAGTAATTTCTTTTCTAATTATTAATTCAACTAACCATCAAATTAATTTATTCAACAATCAAACTAATTTCGCAAAAAGAGATCACTGCTTTTCTTTCTAAGTAGATAATTTTTTCAGCATTGAAGAGGTTCGTTATATTTAAAAACTTGAAAACAGATATCCTGATTTTGAGAAAAGAGTGATATTTTATTCACCTTTAAATGTGACATTGAAAAAAAAGGTCTATTGTTTTCCTAAAAATAAAAAGTAATTTTTATTAACTTAGCCTTTTATTATTATGATAAGGCCAGTTAATCATAATAATAAAAAGAAGAAAAAAAAGGAATTACATGTAAAGCAGTGAGCTTTATCTTTGGTATTATTTTCGCTATCTTTACATAATTTAAGAGAAAACTTCACCAATTCTAATTCCCACAGCTATGAAATGACATTGTGATTAATTTTTTTTTCTTTAATAATCTGAAAGATCTCAGCCTTTTAATATAAATTTTGTTTAACACTAAGATCTTTACTTCAGACAATAAAAAGAATTGAAAGATTATTTTTCTTAAAAAAAAATTCGAGTTTTCTATAGCCATGTAATGCTTTTTTATAATTTATTTTTCTAAATGTTTCATAAAAACAAACATTGCTTTAAATCAATGCGCCCGTTTAAATTATCGGCCCAAGTATTGACTTACTTAGAATAGCTTTACACATTCAACTAAAAGGGAAATTTATTTTGAAAATTATTAGAGAGAATAAAAATTGAAAAAAAGATATATAGATTGCAATCTTACATTGCATATCAGCTTAATAGTATCTTAAGAAAAAACACAACTTACGAGCTCATGATCCCAGTGATAAATAAAAATTTTTAGTGATAGAAATACCGGTATTTAAACTGAATTGAAGGAAAATTTTCCAATTTTATGTAAACAAGCAAATAAAAAACACGAAAATATATCTGTTTATTAGATAAGAAAAAATGAGTAGCAATTGAAACGCTCGCTTGTGTATAGAACTACCGATCAACAACACTACCTTGCATCATCAACCTTGGCTATTAAGAATAACAAAGAATCTTCAGCGCGCGTGGTTAGGCATAGTCACCGAGAGTCAAGGCCTCTCAGTAGGTACCTCTCAGTAGCGAACCACTAGATAACGCGGTATTCAGATTTGTATTAAGAGAAAACTATAATATATAGTTCATATTTTTGAGCAATGTATAACATTTTTGCTTTACCTAATTTAATCTTAAATATTTTTAAGAGGTAAATTTTTGACTTTTTATTAGAATAAATCAATGTTATTTTTCACGTTGTTAACTCAATAAAATGAACATGTAGGAGGACTGTTTGATGCTTTTCTTTAAGCAATATTATGTGTATTCATAATGGAAAATGATTTAATAAGAATTTTTTCTTTTAATTTTAAATCTTTATTCATCGTAACTATTTTAAATATCAAAAGAATAAACCGTATTTAAGCGTATGATTTATTATTTTCTAATATGCAATAAAATATTAGATTTAATCGCATATTTGAAAATAAGAAAAGTAAAATAAGGAATCCTTCATTTTAATAAGGAAACGAATATGAAACAGATAAAAATATGTTATATCATGACAGGAAAGTGACAAATAAGGAAATTATAATTTTATTGCCACATTCATAAAATTTTTATTTTAAAATAGATTCTAAAGAATTCTTTCAGAATCGTATGATATACATTTAAATTCTAAGTGGAAATAATCTGATCATAAGAACTGCAATTATTTACAAATAAACGAAGCAATAATATTAAAATGATAAAAACAAAATAATTTAGCTAAATAGTTAAAAAGTAATAATAATAAATAACTTATGAGTAATTTAACAAAGTATATTTAGATCCTTAAGATTGTAAAACTTTAAAATAGCATTTATTATTTTCAAAAATAAATACATCTTTTATTTTTTAATGATTATTATAAAAAAGCAAACTATTTCCAAATCTTAAGTTTTTCTAACATATAAATTTACTGAGGACAATCTTTCTTATAAGATTTAATAAAAAAAAATCCCAAAATTGAGATTCCCCTAGAAAATTATTAGTATAATATTCTGGAGCAGAAATTGTTCAATTAAGAAAATTATGAAAAGCAATAAGTTTCATTTATTGCGCATAAGCTGCAAGTAAATAGAACTCATAAAATAGTTCAAAGTGAAGATAAAACAAAGGAAAAATACAGATCAAAGAAAAAAGGGGGAAAAAGAAAATTAATAATAAAAATAACAAAAACTGGGGGAAAAAAACCTCCGAAAAAAATGATAGAATTCCTTAAAAAAAGAATTCTTTATAAAAGAATTCTTACTTACTTAATTCGGAACTTATTTTATGAGTTCTACTTACTTGCAGCTTATGCGCAATAAATGAAACTTATTGTTTTTCTTAATTTTCTTATACGTCCATTATATT